ACTGAGCTAAAAATACCACAGAGCTTTCCACCAATACCAAGAATAATCCCACAGCAACTTTGGATTTATTGCTCAAAATGGTTAGGAATAATGGAAATCCTTAAAATAGTTCACATTAAAAAACAACAACCCATAAATGCATTTTTAGGCTGCAAACAGGTATAAACTTTTAAAATTGTGTATTTTCTTCCTTTTTGCTAGTTGTTCGAACTTCTAAATTGAGTCAGGCTAAGGAATAAGGCCAACTTTTTGTCTATGAATATATAATTTATTATAGATATGATAATTGTAGGAGATATTCTCCCCCCCCCCTCTCCTCTAACAGACATTGTAGAAGGAGAAATAATAGTATGTAAGTCTATGATGGCAAAACAAAATAAAAGAAAAAACAGAAGGAATCTGGGAGCACTTTTCCTGACTAAGAAATGTAATAAAAGGCATGCAGTTTTGTGAGTTTTGCTGATGAACCTAGTTGCAACTCATGACAGGCTTTTTTTTTTAAAATAAAAATAAAATTTGTTAATTGAAAAAGGTGCCACTGGACTCTTTTTAATTTTCTGGTCCAACAGGCCTATTGTCAATGCTGCTAACATCGAATGTTTTTGCTTTGACAACAGATGGAGATGCAACTATTTTCTTCTTATGTTTTACTTTTAGAGCTAGAGCTAGAGTTAGATAATGCTAGAGGGAGGAATGTGCATGAGAGTTCAGCTAGACATAACAATACTGGACCTAGTGTGTGACCCAAGGTTATTGAAATAAGAGATGATAAGAATTGGCGGCTGGAGGTCTGGAGGGAAAGCCTGCATTTCAAACTAATTGGAGAATATGATTTATAACTGTTAATTGGAGGAGGGAATTGTGCTTTGATACTATGTACTCAGGGGAGGGGAATCCAGTTTTTGGCTTCGATTGTGTTAGTGCCGATGCTATGCTTCTCAAATAAAGGATTCTTTACGATAAACAATGCCTCAAAGTTCTTTGAAAAGTTTCATCTCTTTTCTATAGAAAACTCACCAAAAAAAGAATAGTGACCATTCGCCACGGATTAAAACCCAAAGTATTAAGTCTGTTGCATTCACACTTATCTGACATCGGTGTGCATTTATGGCAAAAGAATATCATGTGATGAATACAAAGCTATTTCAAGAATAACTGGGCAATTTCCTGCAGAAGCTCCCCCTCCTTCCAACTTAGCGCTTTCTTGATTGTTACAAATTTAATAGTTCTCCCTGGAGTTGCGGGTACTAACTGTTTAAAATTTACCAGCAGAAGGCCTGTCAGGCATGCAATCAATGCAAATAGAAGAATATTTCAACTGTTTACTTTTGTGAAGGATCACTGTTAAAACCTTTGATCCCATTAAGGATACAAACTCTTCACATTCAGCCCATGACAACTATGACGAGTGAGTGAAACTGCAAATGTTTAGCCGCAGAAAAGATGAAGCTGACGGTTGTAGGATTCTGCAAAAATTACCACTGTGAGGTGACCCAGTTTCTTTTAATGATTCTTATGATTAGTGTCAGATGAAGACAGATCTTACGGGAAAGTAAACAAGGTAATGTCACCCATGTGCATAAGTTTCTCTTGCCATTACATGCATTCCACTTCCAAATTGGTTTGTTGTTTTATCAGAAACGGTATCACTTAACTTTCATCTCAAAAATCAAAAAAGGGAAGAAAAAGGATATTCCTGACTTCAGCAACTGTATCACCGAAAGTAAAAGCAGGGAGGATACTTCAGGGATATCTGGTATGAAGTTTCCCCGTCACTTCTTAAGACAACATTGCAGTTTGATTTGAATCCCACCAAGGCCTTGAAATAAAGAATGCCTATTTGTTTTGAGCACCACAGTCAGTTTTCAGAATTGCTATTTGTTATTTACAGTCAGGGAAAGATGGCAATGGACAGTGACCAATTATTTCATATATGATCTTGAGTAGTGCACAAGCTGAAAAACTCTCGTCCTGAAGCTTTTAAACCCCTTAAAAAGCCCCTACTAAATTTCTATGCATTATTAAATATAGAGAAAGTAAACAATTTATTTATTTTAATCCAAATTTAATTTATCCTGATCCTATCTAATTTTTTCACCTGGACAAATCTTTCTTTGGAATATGCCCCTCAGTCCTTCCAAAGTTGCACAACTGTGGGTCATCTTAAAGGGGGGGTTGTTATGTTTTCTGTTTGATGCGGCATTGAAGAGGCAGCAGGTAAAAAACTACTTTCTTTATTGAAGGTCAAAACAGAAACTAACAAGCACATGCTCCACCCATACTTATACACTCAGCCTAAAGGCGGCAGCCAATAGCAACATAGTATTCTCCCACTTAAATACATACTAAGTAGTCTGGCAGACAGAAAGTCTGGCTTGTTGGCCAGGTGGCTAACCGTTATTACACAGTTTTAAGCAACTCAATTCTCAGATTTTAATTCAATATATTACAGGGGTCACCAGTTTTGATGCTGATGTTTGATTCACAATGTAAAACTTGGGGAAAGTCTGAAAAAACCAGCACACCTTTGGAGAAATGAACTGCCCCCTTTCCTGCCTTTGTCTTCAGCTTCCTATCCACTTTTTTTTTCCTTCCCAATAAACCTGTCTTGATCATTTATTAACTAATTCTCTCTTCATATTGCACATATAATTACATATTTTTATGTTGCCATTGATGAACTCGTAAACTTTAAAAAAAGTTTTGGAATTGTTTGATTTGTTTTATTTTAAATCGTATAATTATATATTTAATGCTGTTTTCTAGCAGGAGATGCATAACATGACAAGTGGTATACAAATGCTCTAAATAAATAATAAATAGGGGCCAGCAAGCCCCATATGAAATAAAGGGGAAGAATAAAATAATAATTGCAAAAGGCAGCTTTACCTGGAACCGTTTACCTCCTGCAATGATACCTTTAACACTACCAAACACCAACTTCTCCTGTCCGAGGTCCTTGGCAAGGAATTGATAGGTGCATAAAAATGCCAAATCCAGTCTGAACATCTGGCTGACTATGTGACAAACCATAATATTATGCCTCTTCCCTGTGGCTGTGTGTTATCCTACAGATGCTGGGCCCCTGAATATTGGCAGTAGAAAATTAAGTCCTCTACTCAGTTCCAGAAACCAGTTGCGTCAAAAAATGATGTCTTCATCCTGCTAGGATTAAAGCTGTATATTAAATGCTGAAGGGCTGCACCATCTGGGTATAACATTTCTTTTTCTTCGCTGACCTCATACCAGCATATGCATCCATGATAGTGTTTGTTAAATAAATAGCCTTTATTGTCTGATCTACATTAGCAGCTTCTGGTGAGTAGCTATGCTAGCCAACACTGCAAGGGGAAATGGAGTATCATGCAAGATGAAAAATGGATGGCCAAATGTGGGTTGCCTTTCTTCTAAGATATATGCAGCACATTGAAGGCAATATCTAGAGATTTTTTTGTTCCAGAAAGTGCTAAGCTTTTCCCAGCTTAGTTTTCATGTTCATAGAAAAGCAAGCCAAGTTTTGAAGCTCCCCCACCCTGCTTAGGGTGCCTCCTCATTTCTCCTAACCATAGAGCAGGGGTCTTCAAACTTGGCTCTTTTATGACTTGTCGACTTCAACTCCCAGAATTCCTCAGCCAGCGTGCCTGGCTGAGGAATTCTGGGAGTTGAAGTCCACAAGTCATAAAAGGGCCAAGTTTGAAGACCCCTGCCATAGAACAAATAAATGCTTTTTTTATACCATGATACTGTTTTAATCTCATTTCCTGCTTATAAATGAGGCTGGTTCCAGTTACCTTATTTGTTTTCCCTCTTCTCACAATATGGTTTTTGCGATGGATATAATCTGTATATTTCATGGATGATGTGGTAACAAGTGCAGCCAGGAGATCTAAACCTTCCCAAATTCTTTTGGTCTGCTTTTTTTCCATTGCCATTTTGATTTATGCTGTAGGGAAGACCAGCAACTTGCCCTAGGCAGCAGCCTTTGCTTTGCAACACCTGAGCAGTGCCTTCCCAATTGCTTACACAATCTTAAGTGGACTCTTAAATTGTGGATTTTTATTGCTGTACACCACATGTAATCATGTGTATAAGTTGGGTGGTTATATAAATTTGTTTAATAAATGAATGAATGAATGTTTGGTAACAAGACAGAGTGATTCCTTGACTACTTGTAGTGGCAATGCAGAAGGCCATTGCTATTTTGAGAAGTTTAGTGACATATTTTGATTTCTCCTTCATATTAAGAAAAAATCTCGAAGTTTAGAGCTCATTCTGAGCTCACCTGCTTGTTTTTCACTCTTGTTTGCTGAATAAAGGAGAAGGGTAGAAATCTTCATGTAATTACAAAACTTTTCCTTTTGTGAAAAACTAAGACTTCTTGTCCCAGAATTCTGTGCCACCAGTCAAGGTCAGGGCTTGCAGTTTCATGGCCATGGCAGAGTCAAGTTTTAATATAAACCTTGGGATTGTTATTCCTGTTGGGAGCTTCTGCATGAAACCTAGCACTGGGTACCATGGAAACTGTGGAAATTGACCACTTTTGGGGGATTTCTACTGTCCTTCTGTGGAAAGTCAGCCCCCCCCCCAGACAAGGAAATATTAAAAGGCAGAATATTATATTTCCTCAATTATATTTTCTGCATCTTAAAGAGGCAGAAAAGCATGCCCAGTTTTTTCTTAATAGCCCCAAGTGTCCACCCCCCAAGCAGAAACCAGCTCTGTAAAAATTCAGATGTAAATAATCCATTTAGGAAGGTTGGAGGCCCCCAGCTAGAAGCTTAGGAAGACATAGACACCTAAAATCTATGTACCCCACCCAAACTCTAAGACAGGACATAATAGGATTAACCCATAGATGCCAAAGGGGCACTCTCAGACTCAGGTCAAAAGTACATGACACAGGAAATACAAAGCTTCAAACAAGAACAGGAAACAACCTCAAGAGCCCCAGAGGGTATAAAAACTCACTCCCTACATGTGCTCTCTCTCTTTTCTTCCAGAGCCATCTTTCTGTCTGGCTCTCCTCTTCAATAAACTGCAACCTTCTTTCTAAAGCAGTCGCCATGTTGTTTATTCCTGGCTTGGACTGAACCATGATGAAGACTTTTCCTTCAACACTTATTAAGGAGCTCCAGGAAGATTATAGGAGATTGAGGTATTATCTTGTTTGGTATGGGTGCTTTTTTATCTTATGCTTTTAAATCTGTTTTCTTGAGCTAATAATAAAGCTTAAAAACCCCTTATTTACTGGTGTGATTATTATCTCTGGATACTAAAGAACCCATTGCCTGGGCACCTGATCATTGTCCTGAAACCTGTTCACATATTCACCCCTTCCGTAGTGATCCACTTGAAGAGTTTGTTGAGACACATTTGTAGCACTTTTTCTCTACTGTTTACACTACATGGATATATACTTTAAAAACCCAGATGAGGCCTCTGTTAACAACCACAAACTATTTCAGTGTTTGGAGGAGGGTAAAAGGGACTGAAAAAAGAAGCTAAAGGAAACGAGAAGCCCATTCATAATTAAAACCTTGAACACAGAGGAACTGTTCACCAGTGATGTCAAATATCTCCATAGGCTAGACAGCATACATATTTTTAGAAGTAAATAGCGAAATAATCAAGGGGGTGTGGAGAGAATCCTTTCATTTCTTTGAAAAACATCCAAATCTTTTGCAGGAGTTTCTTAAAAATTTCCATTTTCTGTTCCCTGCAGTGGATCTTACTCACTCGCTATGGACTAATAAACATTTAGAAAACTTAAATAACTTAAAGAGAGTCAAGCATTTTACAAATATGGGCATAGCGTCAAAATACTTACCCTGCATAAAGAATATTTCACAAAAACATGTTGTCTCCCTGGCTACCCTCCTGCTTCCTAACTTCTTCTCTCTCTCTCCCCCCCCCCCACTTTTTCTTTCAACATTTCAAGTTCCAGATGGAACATCAGCTGCCTAAAATCAAAAGAAGAAAAAGGAATTGCCTAAGACCAAAATGGTTTAATAAAAGTGAATATCATGCATCTCAAGTGGGTCTTCCATGACATGCCTTTTAACGCATTATTATTTTATGAACTTATCTGCCTTCTCAAAGGCTTAAAGACTTTTAGTCGATTAGCTACCTAACTTTCATCCCATCAATCAGCTAACTGTCCAATTAAAATACATGTGGCAAAGAAGGCAACGTATCTGTAAAGTCTCATTAATTTATTGCGGCACAGACTTTTGCAAGCCAGGGTCTAGATCTTCAGATGTTTCAGTATTCAATAGGTGTTACTCAGAGAAAATTTAATCAGGTGAACCCCAATTCTGCCAGCCATCTAATGTAAGTACAGTGATTCCAAGTAATGTTTGCTGTTAGAGTTTATGCACATTTAGTACAGATATTTGTTAAGTTTTGCTGAGCATTTTTTTTAAAAAAACTACATAAGAAAAAGAGGAACAGAAACTGAAAAAGCCCTTTTTTTAAAAAAAAATCATTGGCATAACCTTGAATCAGTGATGGTGAACCTTTTAGAGACCAAGTGCCCAAAAGCTGGCCCCGCCCCGCTCCACCCTCTGCCCCGCCGCTGCTCTGCCCCCACCCCACCCCACCCCTGTCCCCATCCTGTCCCCACCCCACCTGCCTGCAGGGCCACTCACCGCCTCCAGAGCCCGCTGCAGATGGCCCAGGCAGCCCAGCAGCGCCATGGTGGCCACACCCTCTGCCCGCGCCCCACAGCATCAACTGTGCATGATGGGGCATGAGGGCAGAGTCTTGTCTACGCTGCCTGGCTGCCATGTCCTTGGCTGTGCTGCTCTGCGTGGGCCACGCTCCGGGGCGACTCTCCTCCAGGGGGGCTACTGATAAGAAGGGGGTCATGGGGGAGGCGAGGCTGGGGCAATGGCATATGTGGCCACAGAGAGAGCTCTGAGTGCTGCCTCTGGCACCTGTGCCATAGGTTCACCATCACTGTACTAAGTCTTCTACTGGCTCTTTAACCAACTGCGATTTAAAGCGATTTAAAGCATCCTGGAGCATTCCCAATAAACCTATTGGCACCTCCTTCAACTAACGTTGACCGGCTCAGACAAAGGGAAGGAGTTGGTCCTGGAGCCATCTGAGAGAGTGACAAGCCTGAGGTGGATACCAGGAGAATGGCAGGGGATGCCTGGGGGATGCTAAGTAGGTAACTTTGGACGAACAGCAGCCTGCACAGACTGCAGCTGGTCAGTGCTGGGGAGGAGTTGCTGCCCCCATCCGATCCAAGGGACACAAGGCCTGTGCACTGAGGGTTAATTGTGCCAAATAAAACAGTTAACCCCTTCCTGTGTGTGTGTGTATGTGCTTGTGGCCTGGAACAGGACAGGCAGTCCTCAGCTTATGATCAAAAACTGGGATCGGAATTTCTGTTGCTAAGCAAGGTGATTGTTAACGGAATCCTTTTCGATTTCATAACCCTTTTTACTATGGTTATTAAGGGAACCCCTGCAGTTGTTAAGTGAGTAGGACTTCCTCCATTGATTTGGCTTGTGGGAAGGTTGCAAGGCGCAGTCACATGATCCCGTTAAGCTGCAACCGTGCCAGTTGCCAAGCACTCAAATTGTGATTCATGTGACTGTAAGGATGCTACGATAGTCATAAGCGTGAGGATCAGTTGCAAGGAACTTTTTTCAGTGCGGTTGTCCCTTCATCCGGTCACTAAACAAATAGCTGTAAGCTGAGGACTACCGGTGTCATCTTTTAATTCAGAAATGTCCTGGATTTATTAGGAAATTTTCCTTTCCTCATCTCATAGAAAGAATATGTTGTCAAACGGCAAAATCACATGGACACCTCATTGTAGAAGAAATGCATTAATCAGGAATTAATGTAAATGTTCCTATGAAAAAAGTAAGACAAATGGTGTTTACTTCCTGAGTTTATGATTTCGAACCATTCATCGCTCTCAGAGATCTCTATGTATTTTGAACTTTTTTTAAAAAACAACAAATTGGTTCTGACCGTAAGTCTAAAAATAGTAAGCAATGGAATGACATGTTTGGGTCTCCTTCAGGGAGCTGCCATAAAGAAGAGGGAATTAAGCTATTCACCAAAGCACCTGAAGGCAGGACAAGAAGCAATGGGTGGAAACTAATCAAGGAGAGAAGCAACCTAGAACTAAGGAGAAACTTCCTGACAGTTAGAACAATTAATCAGTGGAACAGCTTGCCTCCAGAAGCGGTGAATGTTCCAACACTGGAAGTTTTTAAGAAGAGACTGGACAGCCATTTGTCCGAAATGGTGTAGAGCCGGGGCCATTTGGGACCTGCCTCCAAGGTCCCTTCCCTTCCAACTTTATTATTATTATTATTATTATTATTATTATTATTATTATTATTATTATTATTATTATTATTATTCTCTTGAAATAGCAGATGACCCATGTCATTAAAAAGGAGGGTTGAACTGAAAGCCACTGAGGTACCTTTCTAAAAATGTAATGGACTGTACTGAAAGTCTAGCTTTGTCTGATACAAGGCTTGGGGCTTGGTAAGAATTCATGCCCCAATGAGCATATATAAGGCAGGTGACCCAGAGGAAGACCAAACTGTTTAGCAGCAGATGTGTGTTTTTTTTTTAAAAAAAAACCCTTTTTTTGGCAGTGGAAAATACCCTGCTGTTAAATACATCTACAATCTACGGCTCACCCAATCCACGTACAAAAATTCTAACCTTTCAAAAAAAAAAATTGACGGAGAAGCTTCCCTCCCCTTTCCCCAATACAGTACATGGCATCGAAGCGAAATCTATTCCAGGCTGCCAAGCGATTGTAGCCCTTTTTGCTCCCTATTTCGCATCACTTTTAAGTCTTTTTTCTGGCCACTGTGAACCCTTCAGCACTTCTCCTTGTGCAATCATTCGAATCAAGATCTATGATCTGTGATTTTCAGATGCTTGGCCGAAGGCTGCTCAGGCAGTTTGCTAACCTAAGGCAATCAACAGCCTGGATGAAGTGGAGAGACGTTCTGTTGTTGCACACATCCAGTTGCTATTCCCATGCAAACAAGTGGGTGTTTTGTTCTTACATTCAGGTGGGATGCACCTTTACTTGATTCTGAAGCAGTTTAAGTAAAGATGTACATTTGTGTTTTTTCCCCTTTGTATCCCAACCCAAAGCAAAATTACTTGAAGGAAATAGCATTGGTTTTAACAGAATAAAATTCTAGGAATTGTACTTACGGATTTCTTCCCTGTGTCATCTGATAGAGTGACTGTCTCAGTTTAGAACTTGAGATCTTCTAGAAGGATCAGGCAAAATAATCACAACGATAACAGATTGCTACGACGATGCTGTAAGTTATTAGTGGGGAAATGGCCTTAGAACAGGGGTCTTCAAACTTGGTCCTTTTATGACTTGTGGACTTCAACTCCCAGAATTCTTCAGCCAGGCACACGTGCCTGGCTGAAGAATTCTGGGAGTTAAAGTCCACAAGTCATAAAAGGACCAAGTTTGAAGACCCCTGCCTTAGACGTCACCCAGCAGAAGCATAATTTGCATTGCCATTAAATTCAGATAGACTCACTTCTGATCAGACATACCATTAGTCCTCTACCTATGACCACAACTGGGAGTCAAATTTCCATTGTAAGTTGTTCCGGTCATAAATCAAATTGGACCTGATTTTATGAGAATTGTTATGGTGGTTGTTAAACAAATCACATATTCATTAAACATCAAATCCAGCTTCCCCAATTGGCTTTTTTTTGGGGGGCCATAAATTGGCAAAAAAAAAAGTTGCAAATTGCAATCACATAACCACAAAGGTATGGAATAGTCGCAAGTACGAGCTTGAGTCATAATTCACTTCATAAATCAGTATAACTTTGAACCATTGTTAAATAAATGGTGGTAAGTCAAGGACTACCTGTGCTTGGAACTTCTTCTTTTTTTTTTAAATCTAACTGCTTTTTATCTGAAAAGAATCAAAACCATTATAACCATTGTTACAATAAAGGGAAATCTCATTATGCAGATACAGACATAGCAATTCAATGTTTTACTGGCCGTGTGCAGATGCTTCTTCTGTTGAGCTGAAACAGAAAGGAGTTCAACTATTCGAGTGCCTCCCCGCTTGTTTGTGAGCTATTAAAAGATTCTGTGGCCAAAGCACATTTGCCA